AATACTTTCGATCTTTTCAGATGAATTTCAAATGTCAACGGTGGATCAGCCGTTGGCTATTTGTGGTCAAGTGGTTCGCATCGCCTTTAATCTCGGAGACGTACTGCCTGACCTATGAACATATCAGATTTTCGCGCATCAAAACTTTTCAAGGTAAGATTTTTTTTTCTTTTTCATTAGTTCTAAATGAAACATTTAATAAATTGTATCTGCCAAAATGGTTCCAAACTTCATTTATTAACGGAATTGTTTTATATCGGTACTCGGGTTTACATCATTTTGTCGGGACTTTTCTCTGAGAAAGATACTACACTCGAGTTGAATTCCAAATATAAGGCGCTGGGACCGGCACAAAGTAAAGTCTGAGACACATATGCCCTCAAATCCTGGTCGAAATAAAATTTATTGGAGGTGACTTATACTTAAATGATGCAGAAGCGACGTTTTAACGGTTAGAAACAGATAAAAAAAAAGATGGAGGTATCTGCTTGAATATTACGAGAAATGATGTTAAAACTTACTCTCAGATATTTAAACAGAACACAAGACAATTAATATTTATTATACGGCTAAGCACGTTACTTATAGGTACATAATGTATATATATATATATATATATATATATATATATATATATATATATATATATATATATATATTTAGTTGGATAGATGTGAGTTTGTGACCCTGGGTTTCACGCTTTAGCGATCGTCAGACAAACAGAGGTCACAACTCACATCTATCCAACCAAATATGTTAGCTCTATCTCTGATATTGAGCGCTTTCTAATAAGTACCGCATATAATATATAAATAATTATACATACTTATATTTATTTATATTTATATACACTTTTCACATATATATATATATATATTTATATATATATATATATATATATATATATATTTATTTATATATATATATATATATATATATATATATATATATATATATATATATATATATATATATATATATATATATATATATATAAAAGGAAAGACGTTATAGTTGTTCCAACGAGAGAAAAGAAAATATATGACGCAAACGTTGGTTGTAACGTGGTTTTATTTTTAAATATTATGCTCTATTTTCCATAATTTTGCTACGCGTGTTTCTCGCGACCTTCATCAGGCGAACAGTGGATATTTCCACATATTATTAAAAGAAATTAATTTTTCTTATGTTTTTCGATGTTCTCGATATCAGACATTCTCTTTTTTTGGTGTGTTAGTGACCCAAATGTCGTCCATGAACTGGCTGTGAAAACACTTCTTCTGCGTAAAGGGTAATAAAACAATTAAGACTGGGAATATGCACTCTTTGCTTGATTAAGGTCGCGAGACCGGAGGCCCGTGTAGCAAAAATATGAAAAATGAAGCGAGATATTTTTTTAAAAATCCACATTATAACCAAAAACGTTTGCGGTTTCTCCACAAACATTCTTAAATGCCTATAATTGATAACCGAAGCCACTGTTTTATACCAACGGCTTCCCATACTTAATACTTCTCGTTTTTACTCTCGCGTGTTCATGTGTGACGTCACGAGCTGTGATGCGATTTCCGCGTATCGTATACACGTTTTAGTCGTTGCTTTGAAATTTTTCATGCAAGAAAAACAGACTATCATTATTGTTCCGTGTATTGGTTTATATATTGAAAAGTAATTGTCATCTTTGACAATGGCTTATGTAAGCCGAAAGCTTAGATTGGATTTAAACATGTATCAATTATGCTGATTTCCTTTCGACCTTCAATGATAATGTTATTAAACTTATCAGACAATATGAAAAAAATTACTTAAAAAAATGGACAAAACTTGTCAATATTATTTAAAGAAACATGCATCAATTATATATATATATATATATATATATATAGAGAGAGAGAGAGAGAGAGAGAGAGAGAGAACTGATCGAAATCAATGTCAGACCCTGATTTCGGCTTCAGCTGTCACATCTGCCTAACAGTAGAGTGCCATGACAGGATTGGTCAGTTAATCCACTCCAAATGCTGCTCGTCAAAGGAAAACGTTTACACGTACACACACTATATATATATATATATATATATATATAGGTAAATTGTCCCTATATTTGTATTTCATATTGTGTATTTGATTTTGTCGACTGTACTGTATAGTAGAGTCATTTCTGCTAGGATAAGAATGTGAAGACAACAATCGTTGGCTTGTTGTGCCCTACCGAGATTGATGAAAATATCCAATCAACATTTTGGGGTTTGGAATGATTAATAGGGATGGCGACGTTATGAATCCATTAATCTTCCTACGGGGCCTCAGACTCAGCTCAAAGGTCTCCACCAAGTGGCCTGACGAAGTAGTGCTCTCCTGTGTCAAGAAGGTGGCTGCTGGAAGACACTTTGTCCTAGCAGCAGGACGCTGCACCATCAACCAGGTGAATCCACTCATGGCTGCCAGACAATTTCCGTGACCACATCTGCCCACCTAACTCCCCCGACTGTAACCTCCTTGATTATTTTGACTGGGGCATAGTTGAGCGAGAGACCAACAAAATCCTTTAACATCAAAGGTGAACTGAAGTCAAGGATTATGCCAGTATTCACCAACTTGAACAAGGAGACCATCCAGAAGAGATGCCGGAGATTCCGAAGTCGTCTGGAGGCCGCGGTTGAAGCCAATGACTATGTTACTGAATAAATTTTCTCTTTAGTATTTCGAGATATTTTTGTGTAATTTTGGTAAATATATCCATTAAAATGAGACGTTCATTTTTGCGTAATTTAGACGACAATATATCACTTTCACCTCCTGTGTGTGTTTCTGTATATATATATATATATATATATATATATATATATATATATATATATATATGGGGGTGTTGTATATGTCTGTATTCTCAGTTTAGTTATCGCGTCATTACATATTTTCGACAAAAACCCTCCGTCACTAGGGAAGAATTTTGGTTTTTTTTTTCAGAAAAGTTCTACATTTTAGTCTAGCTTCAATTGAATGTGGTCTCTTGTGAAGATTAAAGGCGAAATGGTCATTAATTTTAGAGATTTAAAATGTTATGGCCAGTCTGACACAAGGTGAGAGCAATCTTTTATTGTGGAACCCAGTGAGATGTAAATATTGAATACATACGAGCTATACTTTGCTTGCATTTTTATACCACTGTTCACAAGCTAAAAAGACACAAGTGTCACTAAAGTTAGACGTTGCTAAATGAGGTTGCTGTAAACTTATACAAAGGATCCTGCGAGAGATGCATACTATGAGCATATATAGGACGTGTAACAGTTATTCTGGGACTTGAAGTAGTTAAGATTCTAGTGGCCACGGAACAATCCTTTCAGAAGCTTTTGAGTGGAACTTCTTTCTTACGAATGGAATACAATAGAAATAAGGGTAAATTGCCTCAGAGCAGCATGCACGGTTGTCGCTGTATAGGTCTGGACTTTTTGAATTGAGGAATGTAATTCGACCGAACATTTGCCACGAAAATAGTGAAAAAGTAGCGAGGAGAGAGCAAGTATTCGTCAGTAGGAATGGGGTTTTAGGCTAGGCTATATTTCATCAAATAAAAGGTCGTTGTTTTGACCTTTTGAGACTGGGAATTGGGGAATAGACAGTTGCAAACAAGGTACGCCAACTGTACACCATTTCAATCTTGCTCTGACAGTTGTAAAAATTGAACATGGCTGAAGGAGTCGGGTACTTTTTGAAGCGGTATTACCAACATCTTTAGCAATGGCTCGTATATACGAGTTTTTAACCCTCTCTTTACATGGTGTGCGATTCCTATTATTTTTTATTCTTTTTATTTTCTGGTGAATTTTTTTTAGCAGCAGAACTAGTTACAGTTATAAAATGTCGTCAATTAGAAAGTTTAACTTGAAATAATACGGTCGAACAACTAATTAAAAAATGTTACACTTGAACGTCGATAGATTGAGAAATATAACCGTAGCGACTAAAACGAAACGGTCAATTGTACAAGCATGATGCTTTCAAAACAATAAACATTTATAACTACGATTCAATAAACTTTAGAACTCTCTGGCGTCCATTTAAACTTAGTTTATCGCATCAGCTAACAGATTATATCTGTCTGATTGCTTCGGTTGTACAACATTGATTTCTCTTGGTTTCACTGGCTCACCATAGAGATTTGGCTCCGTAATTGCACAGAGTTGAATTCGTGTGTTTGCGCGTTGACTTGCGGGAGTTAATAAAGGTTTATGGAAGCGTAAATTCACGGGCGTTTGATATCTGCTTGATCTTACCTTCAATGCCTGACTCTACTGATGTCCGTTTTTACTAGACCGCTTTCCACTTTGAAACGACAAAATAAGCGATCTTTCCTCTCTTCACCGCTAAGAGTCGACTGACTTTTAGCTAGAGGCTAGTTTCGCTTATTGAAATCGATAGGAACCATTCGATTTTCAGATGATGGAACTGGCCAATCGCTGCGACTTTCCCTGTCAGATTAGATTCACTCCGGGGAATAAGGCGTTGCAAATGCAGCTGCATATGATCAGTTCTGTTGCACTTATCGAGAGGTTGCATTGCGGCTGTTTGGAGTTTTGATAAACGCAAATCATCACTGGACTGAGTGCGAGAGAGAAGACAAACGCGGGAAACAGAAAGAAAAGAGGGACCAAGAAATAAAGTAAAATAGAGAGAGAAAAAAATGTCTGAAGGAGAAATGATAAAAAAGGAAGGGTCAAATAGAAAAACGGAATGAAGAAAGCAAATATGATGGAACAAGTTTCATCTTTAGTAAGGTGAAAATCTAAATGTCATAAGAAGTAAGAAAAAAGAAAATTACTAGAAAAACAGAAATAAAAGGAATATTAGATTTCTTGTTGATTTTACCTGATCCCAAAAGCTCAGGTCTTGCACCAGTGAGAATTACGAAAGAGGACCAACAAGTAAATCCTCTCGCTTCTGTTTAAGAATCTTCCTCATTCTCTTCGGCTCTTCCCTGTTTCTTTTCAATCTCCTAGGCTTCTTCTTCCTCCACTTCCCTCGATTTCTTCCTTCTCCTCTTCGTTCTTCTCGGCTTCTTCCTCTACTTCGTTCGCCTCGGTTGCTTCATTCATCTCCTTTTCGTTCTCTATGGCTTTATCTTCTTTGTTCTCATCGGCTTCTTCCTACTCCCCCTCCTCTTCGTTCTGCTCAGATTGTTCCTCCTCTTCCTTATCCTCGGCTTGTTCCTCCTCTTCGTTCTGCTCGGCGTCTTCCTCCCCTTCGTTCTGCTCGGCCTCTTCCTCCCCTTCGTTCTGCTCGGTCTCTTCCTCCCCTTCGTTCTGCTCGGCCTCTTCCTACCCTTCTTTTTGCTCGGCCTCTTCCTCCTCGTCGTTCTGCTCGGCCTCTTCCTCCTCGTCGTTCTGCTCGGCCTCTTCCTCCCCTTTTCTGCTCGGCCTCTTCCTCCTCGTCGTTCTGCTCGGCCTCTTCCTCCTCGTCGTTTTGCTCGGCCTCTTCCTCCTCTTCGTTCTACTCGGCCTCTTCTCCCCTTTGTACTACTCGGCCTCTTCTTCCTCGACGTTCTGCTCGGCCTCTTCCTCCCCTTCGTTCTGCTCGGCCTCTTCTCCCTTTCCTTCTGCTCGGCCTCTTCCTCCTCGTCGTTCTACTCGGCCTCTTCTCCCCTTTGTTCTGCTCGGCCTCTTCCTCCTCGTCGTTCTGCTCGGCCTCTTCCTCCCCTTCGTTCTGCTCGGCCTCTTCTCCCTTTCGTTCTGCTCAGCCTCTTCCTCTTCGTCGTTCTGCTCGGCCTCTTCCTCCTATTCATTCTGCTCAGCCTCTTCCACCTCGTCGTTCTCTCAGCCTCTTCTCCCTTTCGTTCTGCTCGGCCTCTTCCTCCGCGTCGTTCTGCTCGGCCTCTTCCTCCTATTCGTTCTGCTCGGCCTCTTCCACCTCGTCGTTCTACTCGGCCTCTTCTCCCTTTCGTTCTGCTCGGCCTCTTCCTCCTCGTCGTTCTGCTCGGCCCCTTCCTCCCCTTCGTTCTGCTCGGCCTCTTCTCACTTTCCTTCTGCTCGGTCTCTTCCTCCCCTTCGTTCTGCTCGGCCTCTTCTCCCTTTCGTTCTGCTCGGCCTCTTCCTCTTCGTCGTTCTGCTCGGCCTCTTCCTCCTATTCGTTCTGCTCGGCCTCTTCCACCTCGTCGTTCTCTCGGCCTCTTCTCCCTTTCGTTCTGCTCGGCCTCTTCCTCCTCGTCGTTCTGCTCGGCCTCTTCCCTCCCTTCGTTCTGCTCGGCCTCTTCTCCCTTATCTTCTGCTCTTGGCCTCTACCTCCTCGTCGTTCTGCTCGGCCTCTTCCTCCCCTTCGTTCTGCTCGGCCTCTTCTCCCTTTCCTTCTGCTTGGCCTCTTCTTCCCTCGTCGTTCTGCGGCCTCTTCCTCCCTATTCGTTCTGCTCAGCCTCTTCCACCTCGTCGTTTCTCGGCCTCTTCTCCCTTTCGTTCTGCTCGGCCTCTTCCTGCCCTTCGTTCTGCTCGACCTCTTCTCCCTTTCTGTTCTGCTCGGCCTCTTCCTCCTCGTCGTTCTGCTCGGCTTCTTCCTCCCCTTCGTTCTGCTCAGCCTCTTCCACCTCGTCGTTCTCTCGGTCTCTTCTCCCTTTCGTTCTGCTCAGCCTCTTCCTCCTCGTCGTTCTGCTCGGGGCTCTTCCTCCCCTTCGTTCTGCTCGGCCTCTTCCTCCTCTTCGTTCTACTCGACCTCTTCCTCCCCTTCGTTCTGCTCGGCCTCTTCCTCCTCGTCGTTCTACTCGGCCTCTTCTCCCCTTTGTTCTGCTCGGCCTCTTCCTCCTCGTCGTTCTGCTCGGCTTCTTCCTCCCCTTCGTTCTGCTCTCGGCCTCTTCTCCTTTCCTTCTGCTCGGCCTCTTCCTCCCCTTCGTTCTGCTCGGCCTCTTCTCCCTTTCCTTCTGCTCGGTCTCTTCCTCCCCTTCGTTCTGCTCGGCCTCTTCTCCCTTTCCTTCTGCGAGGCCTCTTCCTCCTCGTCGTTCTGCTCGGCCTCTTCGTCCCCTTCGTTCTGCTCGGCCTCTTCTCCCTTTCCTTCTGCTTGGCCTCTTCTTCCTCGTCGTTCTGCTCGGCCTCTTCCTCCTATTCGTTCTGCTCAGCCTCTTCCACCTCGTCGTTCTACTCGGCCTCTTCTCCCTTTCGTTCTGCTCGGCCTCTTCCCCCTCATCGTTCTACTCGGCCTCATCCACCTCGTCGTTCTGCTCGGCCTCTTCCTCCTCTTCGTTCTGCTCGACCTCTTCCTCCCCTTCGTTCTACTCGGTGTCTTTCTCCTTCTTTTCGGTTATATATAGCCATTTTACCTGTTAGATGATGAAACCTTGTCGCTAATCTAGTAATATGCTTAATTCCTAAACTCTAAGCCCCAAAGAGGCTCATCACAACAACTGTCCTCAACATATTTATAGAAACGTTACAGAGAAGTTCGGTTATGCTAGTAAGAGTTGATAGAAGACGATACAGAAATCTGAAGGTACATTTGAGTAACGAAAGATGTCATCAGAAATCTAAACAATGTATTAAGAAACAGGAAAACTTCTTTTAAGGCAGAGAAAAATTGCTGTACTCCTATGTAGTATGAACCACCTACCATAAAGATGTGAATTCTGTACAATTTCTTCACAGATTAAGATGAGTATTGACAACTAGTGCAAAATAAGTTTCAAATATAGCAAATACTATCCTACAAAAATATGAGAAAGCGAGGTTCTACATATACATACGATAATATTCTCAGTTTCGTTATTAGGAAACATTTGTCACTCTTTTACCGAGGAATGCATTGCTAATGTTGGTTGAAATTCATAAAAATGAAAAAATGGGCCCCTCTCAAGCCCAATAGGTAATATCGCTCTGTCCATTATTGGTAGGGGTTTCCTTCCTAACATTTTGTTTGAAGTAGTGGTGAAAGTCAACCTTTTTCATCATGTCATTATTTTCTCTTTGAGTTAAATGTGCTATCCGTTTTAGCTGTTACCGCTGTTGGGAATCTACAAGTGATGTGGTTTCTGTTATTCGGTATATTTCTTAGTCTGTGATTCTGTAACCTCAAGCTTCGAAGAAGTGTCGTCCACGCTAATAGCAAAAGACTTCATTCGCTCGAAGCTATTTTTAACTATTTATACAAGAAAACGTCTGTATACAGCTGACAATTTAGATATATCTGAACGGATTTGGCGCCATGCTTTTTATATATATGAAAGTCTCCATCTGATCAAGCCATTTAAGAACATGATTTGAGAGTTTGAGTTAGTTTTGCACAACATCAAAAGTTCCGAGAAAACCAAAAACAATCTAGAGGAACCTATTCGGTGTTTACATCATTTACATCCTCTGCTAATTTTTTTTTTAACTGATCATACACTGAGGCATTTCAAGTTTGTTATTTATTAAATCCACAATGAATTTTTATGATGTGTTCAGTGTATGTAGCATTACGGTTTTCCTTCCAATTTCAGATCAGAGTTCAGGTTTATTAATATTATATCTATGTGTAAAAATTATATTGTGTGTGTACAACTTTGTGTGTGTAAAAATCGTTGTGTTTGCGTATGTGTGTGTTTAAAAATTGTTGTGTTTGCGTGTGTATGTGTGTGTGTGTGTGTAAAATAATGTGTTTGCGTGTAAAATAATAATGTTGTGTTTGCGTGTGTCTGTGCAATAATATTGTTTTTGCGTGTGTGTGCGTACAATAATATTGTTGTGTTTGTGTGTGTGTACAATAATACTGTTGTTTTTGCGAGTGTGTGTACAATAATATTGTTTTTGCGTGTGTACAGTAATATTGTTGTTTTTGCGTGTGTGTGTGTGTGTGTGTACAATAATATTGTTGTTTTTGCGTGCGTGTGTGTACAATAATATTGTTGTTTTTGCGTGTGTACTGTGTGTGTGTACAATATTTTTGTGTTACTGTGTGTGCAATAATAATGTTGTCTATGTGTAAAAATAATATTGTGTGTAAATAATATTGGTTTGTGTGTAAATGATGTTGTATATGTAAATAATGTTGTTGTTGTGGGTGTGTAAAATAATAATCTTGTGAGTGGGTGTAAAAAATATTGGTGTGTGTGTATAAATATTGTATGTGTGTGTAAAATAACATTGTCGTGTATATGTGTAAAATAACATTGTCGTCTGTGTATATATATATATATATATATATATATATATATATATATATATATATAAATTGTGTGGGAGTAGCGTTACTATGTGTTCGTATGTCAAATTAAATCGTCACGTAGTGCGCATGAGCAATGAAATGTCACGTAAAATCTTCATGTACACTCAACTTTATGACGGTTTACAGAAGGTGGGAAGAACTCTCTGCTGTCTTTTGAGATACTGGCTTCCGACTGTGTCAAATGGTGGAGCATGTTTGTAAAAGGCATAACAACTTTTGAGAGGTCATGCATTAAACATTTCCGTATAACCAAACACCGCACTAACATTAATGTAGCATTCACAAGGGGTGAAGTTCCTTACTCTGTGTGTGGAATGCTATGTGGGTTTCATGCTGGCGTTGAAAGCCATGAAATGCACAAAAATAAGTAAATAATTAATGGCAGAACATACTGTTAGAACCACAGACGTCGAAATCAGCGAAAAGTAAGTTTAAATATATATATATATATATATATATATATATATATATATATATATATATATATAATGTGTTTGAAAAAATGTATATAAACATAAATAAATCACATCATATCATATAGACCCGTTATTAAGTTAAACTACCTCTCACCCAGAATATTAAATATTAAACATCACCATATAAAATAACCACTAAGGATTACAAATTTCTACCTGTTATATATACACAGTCATCAAAAACAAACAAATAACCAGCTTTTAAATAACAAATAAACCCGCATTTTTTTTTTTTTTAAATAAATATAAATAATAATAATTTTTACCTATCATAATTTTACACAAACCCCACCACATGTATATACATACATGCGAGGAAATTTATTCAGTGGAAAAATAAATAATATGACATGTATACATTCACGAGACATTTCCGCCACACTTCCAATCTTTAAATTTCAACATACAAATGCGTATGTATAGACACAACACCACCCGTATACATACATATGTCATATCCGAAACTGCTCACATATGTTTATATATGTATGAGTCCGACGGACGACCAAGTGTGTATATGTGTCTGCATACATCGATGTTTGCGTTAGTACGATGAATGACAAAACGACGAAATTTCCCCACCACTTCCACAATAACACCAATACACGCAATCTACATAAACCCAATTTTTAAAAACATTAATCAGTTTGTCTGACGATCGCTAAAGCGTGAAACCCAGGGTCACAAACTCACATCTATCCAACCAAATATATATATATATATATATATATATATATATATATATATATATATATATCATTATTTAAAAAAATATGATTCCATCACTACATAAATGTTCTCATGTATCAATTTTTAAAAATTCAATTTATTTATAAAATATAAATTGATATTAAATATTCATCTCTGTTTCATCCTCAAGCGAATTTTGGAATAAATAATCTTGAAATTTACTGAGATTTATAAGCATGTACATTTGTAATATTAATTACTATGGAATTAACTAATTATAATAATAAGGGCCGTAAGGGTTTATATATTCACTGACACCAGGTATACAAATACGAATTTAACGGCGGAATAAGAAATAACTCTTTGTCTTTGAAACAGACGCATATCTGTCTAGATCAGACGATTTTGCGTCAAACGGATGCCATCGTTCGCTGGAAAATAGACACCCCTACCCTACCTTGACTTAAGCTCTTTCCGAAAGTAACTAATATGTTGATACAATAGGAGTCATTGATCTGGTCAAGATCCAAAATAAACAAAGTTAAATAAAACTATGCTCGCAAAACGATGCTACTTCTGACGTGAAACACATATGTTTACCTTTCAGTCTACGTCATTAATAATGGTCGTTACAAGCTTCCTGTATTTTAACACAACGCTGAAAATTTCAGTCGGAGTTGTAAAAAGAAATCACAAGTTACTCACACGCAAAACTGAGTACAAAAACAATCTTTCCGGTGGCAAAACCTGCTGGTGGCACCAGGAGTGGTAGTCGCGCCCTTAGCTACCGAAACTCTGTTACCTCTCCTGGTTGACGAGGGCAGGGTATTTTATGTAGAGAATTGAATATCTTCACTTAACAATAGGTATAGAAAATATAAAATTTGCTTAAAAAACTTATATGAAGAATGCACCTTCTAATGTAGCCCTGAAATTTATCCATTATTTTGAATTAATGTAACATTACAAAGCAGCGTATATGCAACGTTACAAGGTAACGTAACAAGTGTGGGAATCAACATCTCCGTAACGTTGCAGCAACTTTAATTTGTTAACTAAATCTTCTTTGCTAGTACAACAGGGAGGCACTTTTTATGCAGTAAGGTAAAAAAAACTCGTGAGTCACTCAAGGTAGAGGGTTACGTTAAGGGATAGTTTATATGGATAGAAGGGCAAGATAACGGTTAACTCTAAACGTGAACAGGTTAAGATTGTAGTGGTCGGAGAAACGTCCTCTTGGGAGTCTATTCCGCTGGGCAATGGTTCGCGAGAAGAAGCTGTTTTAATGGAACTTATTTCTCGCCGACGGAATATGGTGGGAATTTGTAAGGTTTTCTACTATGCAAGCGGCATGGCAGGTCTTAGCCGTGAAGGTTACACCTGGTGAAACCAAGTTCGTCCGAGCACTTTCCATGGTAGTATCGATAGAGCAGTGAGAGAATAGCCACATCCCGCCTGAGAGAGAGAGGTTGGAGAGTGGAAAATTATTCTTTACCAACATGGACTCGGAGACGCTTTTGAATTCTATCAAGGCTGGAAAGGAAGGACCGGGAAGTACCTGCCCAAATATGACAACGGTACTCGATTTTCAGCCGGATATGGCTTTTATAAAGCTAGGGGATACCCTGAGGATTCATGTAGTCATTGGGAAGGTAGAAGGAGCCGATCATTTTACCTATATTTCAAAGGATGGATCGTATATAGAAGTTCCACTTCAAGTCGAGTTTGAGGCTTAGTATACACTCGATGCACGGAGCCCCCTCGTGGGGACATCCATTCAACTGGACTGGGGATAGATCGGGCTTTGATCTGTCACGATATCCGAGAACCAGGAAGATCTGCTCTATTTATTCCTCATCTTGTCGTATGAAATAACCAGACTGATACCAGGGCGTGAAATTGAACTAGATATTTACTGAGGGTATCTAAATGTTAGCTTAAAGCC